TCTTGCTACAAGCTTTTTAATTAATTCAACCAGCGTCATGAAATGGAACAGCCAGCTTGACGAAACAACTACACCACCCACTCTTTACAAAAATTAAAACGGAAAAGTTGAGAGGAGCCACGTAGCCTCCATCGCTACCTCCATCCGAGATTATGGACAATGGGGCGCCTGATGACCCGGGTGGGCCCCCGAGACCACCTCGACGGCCTCTGCTAGATGCTGAGCTGGTGCGGGGCGACGCTAGAATGAATAGAGCAGTAGAAGCAAAGCTGAGGAACCCTGCGCTCTCGTTGTCAGAAGCTGTTCGGGCTGGTGGATTCCGGTATCCGCCCAATGCCACTTCTGTAGCAATGGATGACGAGCAGGTTTCACTGGGCCAAAGAAAGAATCAACTGAACCGGAGATTGAGACAGATTAGGCAGCAACGGGCTCAAGCAGAACAGGAGGCTCAGCGGCGGGCTCGGGAACAGCTCAGCGGGAAGCTCAATTCCGGGAGCAACCTGCAATGGCAGCAGGACATGGACCCAACATGGCGGTGCCTCCTGCTGTAGGTGCGTATGTGTCGAACAATCCGAACAATGCCCCGTCCGTTCAAGGGCAGCCCAACTCCTGGACTGCAGCTGCCTTGCAGAATCAGAGCTCTGCAGGAGCACCCCCGGTCAGAGCTGGGGCTGCGCTGCAGCCACAGCAAGCGCAACCACAGCAACTACATCAACCACAGCAAGCCCCAGGGCTAATGGGGTTTTTGGAATCCCAAGTTGCGACCCTCTATCAACAGCTGCAGCAACATCCTCAGCAAGGTCCTCCATCCATGCCACAAGTCCTTCCTCAACAGCAGCAACCACAACAGCAGCAACCACAACAGCAGCAACCACAACGTTTTTTGCAGAGCTCGACTGGTGCTGGGATGCCAGCACAAAACGCTGTGGTAGTGGCTGTTTCCGGCGCTGGCACCAACACTCTCAACCAGAGTACTCTCAACCAGAGTATTGCTGCCTCGAACTTGGCGGCGACCATCATGGCCGGAACTCATGCGTCAATTCCACAACCACAACAGCAGCCAGCACCCGCAAACAGTGGAACTACTACTAATGGTTCGAATGACGACTTGCGCCTGCGACTAGCTCTCCACTTTTTTGAAGAACAAGTTCGAGGAGTCTACCAAAATGCCATGCAAAGTGCAGGGTACAGCATGGAAGAGATCCAAGCGACGTCCCCTGCCTATCAACGATTTGTACAACGAGCAACTCAAGCCGAACTCGAACGGCTCCAATCCCTCAATGACATGAAGCCACCATCCTCTCACAAGAAAGAATGAACGAATGCTTCCAACTAAATATTTGCACAGAGAATCCTGTTCAGTGCACAAAATGAAAATAAAAGAAGAAAGATTCAAGACTTACACATAATGCATCTGCTGCCTATCACAGCACCAAAGTACTGTAAACACAGCACGAAGAGTAAAGGCGAATATGACAGGCCCGCCACAGTCCGCTAAAATCTGGACATGTATAAACAAAGAAATGGCTGCCTGTCAATCCTCCAAGAAATCATGACTATATATCTGCACACCGGTAGCCCCATCATCATAGGATGGCTACATAACTACATAACTGTTAAAACACACTTGGTAGATGATCTGAAATCCGTACATGTAGAAACAAAGAAATGGCTGGCTGCCAATCCTCCAAGAGAGCATGACTATATCTATCTGCATACCGGTGCTGCCCATCATCATAGGATGCATAACTGTTGATTAAATACACACTGCTCTAGGTGATCGCAAGAACAAAACACACAAGCAACAGCTCAACATCTCAAGTCAGAATGAATAGCACAGGCGACCGCGGCTCTTTAGAGTCATTCTTAGTGCTTCCTGTTTCCTGTCTCGACAGTCCTTCGTTGTCCGAATACTTGAAGAAGCCAGCTCTCTTGGTGCAGTGTTCACGTATGCTCGAGACTCAGCATCAGTGACTCAATTGAATCACTCGATTCAAATCGATTTAGCTTTAACGCTAAAATGAAATGAAATGTCGGAAGGAAAAATTTGCCTCGACTGAGAATGTCACTCGACTTCTTCGACTTGCCATCCCGAAAGTCAGATGACGTCCCTTGGCAGTGTCATGTCCTTCATTATTTTCTTTCGACGGTTGGGTGAGGAGCATACAGCACAGCGCTCATTGTCGAAGGTGAAGCCTCTAACGTTCAACAGTCTCCTTTGTTCTGCCTATCCATTGTATTCAGCTAGCTAGCAGAAGCCTTTGGAAGCTTGGTGATTGCCGTCGCTTTTTTGTTGACCAAACGAGAAAAGCGTCTCGTACGGTCAGTCCTTCACCGGCTTCTCTTTGTGGCTGCTTTCTCGAAAGAACGTTCTGTTTGAGTTTTCCAGCACTCTTTCTTCTCGCCAAGGCAGCTTCACACATACATACAGTGCGTACAGTCTCAATACGATCGATTGGATTGCCATTGCCATTCGTTGTCTCTATCTTTCTTGATTGACCAAAAAAGAAATTCAGAACAATGGCCGATTCACCTGCCGAGCAACGCTTCCGCCAGCGTGAGAATGATGACACTATGGAGGACGACGAAGTGTTCCCTGCCAATGAGAACAATGTCCCCATGAACGAAGAAAACTTTGCGAGCCTTCCACGAGCCACTGCCATTTGCGAGGGTCTCAAGCTGATCAAATCCACCGAGCAACTTGTACGACAAATGAAGAAGGAACACGCCGCTCAAGTGGGACGCGCCTCCTTGCTCGTCAATGCCGAACGCGGTTGGGAGTACTTGGGGTACCGCGAACGGCGAAATCCAGACAACATTCTCTTGGCGTTGGCCAGTCCCAAGAGACCTGCCTGCATGAAATGGAGCAACTTTACCCTGCACTTTTCGCACCAAATCCGGCAAGACAAAGCCGTTCTCCTGGCTCGCCTCGAACATGTGCCGGGCTTTGAAGAATGGTCGACGAGGCGAACATTTGACGCGCCACGAAACTTGAGGGGAGACAAAGAAGTCATGATGGCATTGTGCAGTCGGGATGGATCCTGTCTCATGTATGCCAGCAAGGCATTGAAAGAGGATCGGCAGCTTGTCATGGCGGCTGTCAGCAAAACGCCAACGGCATTGACGTACGCGGCAAACAAACTCAAAGGCGATCGCCGCATTGCACGAGCTGCGTTGGGACGTCCTCTTGGCATCAAGGCATTCAAGATGATGAGCAAGACATTGCAGGAAGACCCAAAGTTGGCCATTCACGCCATTCGCAAGAGTGGTGGTGTGGATTCGAAAGGGTGGAGCTTGAAAGATCTTCCAGAGCATCTCTTGGACGATGAAGAGGTCGTTTTGGAGGCTGTGCGCTGTCGTGGAGGAAACCTTCGCCATGTCACGGACAAGGTACTCTTGGAAGACTTTGACATTGTGTATCAAGCTTGCAGCAACGACGGCACAGCCCTCGAGTTTGTGCCAGCGGGGAATACACGCCAGCAAATGCTAAAAGGCAACAATCTAATGACAGTTCTGTGCAATGGTGGGGGCAAGTATTTGTCCGAGGCGCCGAAACGATACCGCGACGATGCGGACTTTATTCTGGCCGCCGTCGAAAACGGTCACATTGACAAATCGTTTGGTGACTATTACACGTCTGACAGAGAATTCTTCATGGAGATGATTGCATGCAGCAACCGCGTCGTGAATTTCTACGAGTGCTTACCAGAAACGCTAAAAAACGCAAAGGATGTGGCCATTGCAGTTTTGAAGAATTCATCGATCAGCAATTGTGGATGTTGGACTCTAGTCGATCGCCACGAGTCTTTGCTTTGCGACAAAGAAACTCTGCTGCTACTGGTGCAACGGGGGTACCGATCGGCTTTGGGGCGATCTCCCGCTAAAGAAGCAATGAAAGACAAAGATTTCGTACTGAAGGCATGTGCTATCGATGGCGCTTCCCTTCGCTACGCGTCGGAGGGTCTTCGAAAGGACGTAGATTGTCTCACAACAGCCTTGTCAAACTGCAAAGATTCTGGAGCTGTTGGAGTCCTCGTGGGTTGTCTACCAGATGCTGCTTGGGACGACGAAAGTCTTGTGGAATGCATCATTCGGGGATCGGACGCTACGGACACGACAATCTCCTGGCTGAAAGAATACATTCCAAGTCTGCGCCCTCGAAACATCTATCTTGCATGCCTGGAGAAAGCTTGGCCATACAGACAGTTGCCGTACAATGCCCGCGCCGCGTACGAGAACGACGAGGAAGTCATGTTGGCCGCATTGAAGAATCAAAAGGCGTTTGGTGGCTCGGGCGTGTTTTATACACTTGGTGAATCCATGCGCAACTCCAGGAGCTTTCTTGAGAAAGCCATCGCCATCGATCCGTCAGTGGTCTCCTATGCACGCGAGCCTCTGAAGTATGATTATCGATTGCTGCTCGAAGCAGTCGGCACGTGTCGTAGTGCTCTGATGACTGCTGCGCATAGTTCTTCGGATATGCCCAAACTGGTGGAATTTGCCGAACAGGTGCAAGAACGCAAAACTGTGGCGGACGGCTTTGTGGTGTTTCTAGCAGGGATTGCGCAGTCAGGAGAGTCTCCGCCTCCCAAGAAGCGCCAGCGAAAGCGCAAGGCAACCAACAAGAGAAGCCAACAGCAGGAGGCCAACACCGGATGCCATTTGCCAATCTTGAACTGCGGAGCTGAGACGGGAGTGGCTCTGAAACGTCTGATTGGTGAATTTGTAGGAATTCCAACCGGTCGCGAGTATCAGGTAAGGAAGGCACCGGAGATCGGCTCGCACTGCATTCGGTGGTGAGCAGCTATCAAACTCACTTAGTTAATTCCTGCGCCTCCTTGAAGCTTGTGCATGCTGCTGCTACAAACATGGAGTATTGGGGCTATCCATGAAAAATAGAAGCAATCTTGCGACCCTGTCATGTCATGTCATGTCATGTCATGTCATGTCATGTCATGTCATGTCATGTCATGTGGGTCATGGGATTGTGATTCTGGGTTCCTTGTCGCTCGACTGTGATGTGTGGCGACGGTGCGAAACGCAAAAGTTGGGCTTTTGTTGTAGGGTCAAGTGTGTGTTGACGGGCCTTGAGCTGCACCAGCATTAACAACCGGAAGGGGAAGTAAAGTAACCTGTATATCTGAACTTTTCATTCATCGTAACTATTGTGAGAGGCACAACACGTTGGTACTTCAGACTTATTTATTGATATAGATCTTAAAAGTAGACGCAAGGATGGGATTGCTGTTATTGACGTACGTCGAAGTCGAAGAAAGAGGTGCAATTGTGTACCGGTACAGTGCAGAAGGGATGCAAATCATGATCCTTATCTATTGCATCACTTCCCGAAAAGCCCCACGAGTCTGCGGCATTCCTTTGCCCAAGCACAAGACGCAAACTTTTGAAAGGCTTCCGAGGATACCTTTGTCTCGTCGACAGAGTATCCAGCGAGCAACATTGCCTTTTGATACTTGAAAACGTGGAGGTCGTCTCCAAACAAGCCCAGGGCGACGGCGAATCTCGGGTCATCTAGCTGTGGCTGAGTTGAACTGCCAACATGTTCTGGATTCGTCACTGAAGGCCAACCGCCTGCGTTGGACACTGGTCCAGGCAACCGACCTTGACTGGCGTCAACAGCAGGAAACGTGTTGACTAGATTGCTGCCAACGAAGCTTCGAGGTGCAGAGCTTTGTGTTCCGTTCGAGCTCGTCTTCTTCGAAACTCGGTAGTTCTGCCGACCCGCTCCAGGAGCAACTAGAGGGTCCTCAGGCAAAGATTGATCCAAGATTGAATCAATGAAGCTAGAGAATTCATCGGCTTGGGTGTTCCCATCAGCAGCGGAACTTGCCGGTTGGAAGGTGTTGGAGGATGCAGCACTGGACGTGGGCCCCAGAGACGGTCCACCACCAATGGGCTTGCTTCTGGGAGCGTCTTGGGGCGCTGCAGCTGGAATTGCCAACTGACCGTAGGTTTCACCCTTGGACCTGTTGGCAGCAACGCCAGCGTCTACCAGGTACAATTGTGTTGTGCGAGAGACTTTCCGAGCTTGTCGGAGGAACTGCTTATTGTCAGCCTCGTTCTTTGCACGTCGCACACGCCTGTTCAGCTGGGAAGACGTAGGAAAACGCGATATGTGAGCGTCACGACGCGGTTGTGACGGCTTGTCATGCAATTTCCTTCACTCACCTGGTTCTTTCTCTGTCGAAAGCTCACCATTTCGTTGTCCACAGCATGACCCGGGGCCTTTGGAGGGTAAGCAAACCCACCGAGGCGCAGGCACATTTCCAAAGAAAGATCAGGGTCCTCTAGTCTGAGTTGCACAGCTCGGTTCATGCGAGGGTCGCCCCTAGGGGTCACATTGTTCAGTCCTTCGTTGTCAGAGGAATCACTGTTTCGTACCGGATCGGGTAGGTTCATGGTTGCCATGGTCAAGTCTTCACTTCTCTAGCTACTAGAGGTGGTTATTTAGGTCTACAGCGCAAGTAGAAACCGTACTCGTCTTTTTTAATGCGCGAATTTTGAGAGGATCACCCGAGAATTGGTTTTCACACAGTTCGGATTAAATCATTTGCTTTTGCGACTTCGTCTTCTCGGTTGAAGTTGTGGTGCGATCCAGGAATCCAACCACTCCACCAAAAGAGAAATTGAGGACAAATATTAACAACCCTGGTTATAAGAATCATTTACAGGTTCCTACCGGTATGGTAGCTCTTTGTGGATAGCTAGAGCTACCGTGTACGGTAGCATTGTCTGTTTCTGTGTTTTAATAAAGTAGGTGTTCGCTTAGGCAGTTTAGTCAATTCCGCAGGGAGCTAATGTTTCTTAATAATAGGTGAATAACAATTCTATGTTTCTTCGGGCCTTCGGATTTTCTTTTCGGAAGACTTGGCCTATTCTTTGCCGAACGCTCGGTAATTAGCCGATTCGCGACGAAATGCGGGACAAAAGAAAACTAACTGAGCCGAGCTTTTATAAAAAGCACTAGCTACTGTACTACCGTTAGACCCACATGCCTTGTTTCTCTACTAGCTAGCCAGCTTGTAGAGCAGTCTTTTCAGCGACAGCACCTATGATACAAGTGCCTCTTGTGGGGGGTGCCTCAAACCAGCTGTGCACACCTTCATCTACTAGTATCTTATCCCACCTTCCTGATATTAGAACCATGAACATTTAACCAGCTTTGACCACTTTAACTATCTTTGCCACTTTCGACCACCTTCAACCGCCTTCGACCGCCTTCAACCGCTCGTTTTACCGCCTTATTACAGCTTTAATTACCGCCTTATACCACCATATAACCGCCTTATCCCCAATTTCGACCACTCGCCGATCCCAACCGCTCACCACCGACTGCTCTACCGGTAGCACGCTGACATGCTGACACCCTGCACGATTTGACCAGGACGGTTAAAGATATGTTTCCGGTGGTTGGGGAATTAACCAGGCGAATGGAGATGGTTTGAGGCACTCCCCCCACACAAGGACTGATACCAGAATCTAATCACAAAGTGGGTTTGGCAACTGATCAACAAGAACCACCAAGTCTATCAACACTGTGTAATCCTTCAACTGCCCATGTCGGCGCCAGGTGCCAAACTTGTGCCACTGTTTCATTTGGATTCGTTCCCAGTTCCAAGGTGCTCCTGAAGTCATGTAAGAAGGTGTATTATCAAGACGCCAAAATGTACAAAGAGTCGTTTAACTTTTACAGGCAGGTTCTCTATTACATGTACTTGCAGGTAGCAACTTTGCTGCTACTAGCTCGCTACGCGGTAGCTATTTAAAATAGCTAGGCTCAAGCCTTTTGGAGCTCTTCTCTGCAGTTGGTAGAGCTTTGGTAGCAACTTTGGAGCAGGGCACAGCTTCATCTGATAGGGAAAAGTGGCCTGTTCTTTTTGCGAAGCAAATCCGAATTCTTGCAAAATCGTGATTGATCGAAGTGTATCCCCTCTTATCGCTAGGAACAAGAGGGCTTCTCCAGCCGGAATTCTTGAGACGCGAGGTCCAGAAGCGTCTCATCCAATCGCCGTTCTTATTTGATTGTGGCCAGCCGAGGATAAGGGAGATACTCCGTTACTCCTGCGAAGGAGCGATCACAGCAAAGCTGGTAAATAACTTTAGGTAGGGTACCAGGTACGAGCGCGGTAGTTTGCCAGAGTTTCCTCAACACCTGTCCTACCGTTTCACCTTCAACATTCCTCGGAACCAAACCACGCACTGTGCAAGTGGATAGCTGTCGTAGGCAGCTTGTTAGACGGCTGTTTAAATGCTATTTGAAGACATAGACATTCAATAGATATTTAGTATGCATGGAGATCTACTGTGATCTACACTCGTTTTCACCCAGCAGCCAGTATGGAATAAGTGCCTAGCTAGCGGAAGTAAGTGGAATGTGGTGATCTCTAGCCAGCTAGGAATGGTCGTTTAGAATGCCCAGAAGTCTCTCGCTCTCTCGAGCCCAGGCAACCGAAGCAAATTGGTGAAACTTGGATGATGTCTCCCTGGCTTCTTCCTCCGAGAAGCCAGCCATCTGCATGGCTCTAGGGTAGACGGAAGAATGCAGTTCCTCTGAGAATATCGTCAAACCCAACTTAACTCGAGGATCCTGACTTTCGTAATCATCTAAGTTGAACGAATTAACTTCGTGCGTTGCTCCCACTCGGCTATCATGTTGAAGCGTAGCTTGGTTCACGTTATGGTGCATCGGGCCATGGCTTCCCGGGAGGCTTGCACTGACGTGATGATATACTTCACGATTTTTGGGTACTACATCAGGGAATGGACTGAAGGAAGCAGATGTGTGCTGTGACAGGCTTGATGAACCTTGGGACGAGACAGCAGTTGGCTTTGCATCCTGCTCAATGCAGTCTTCATCACATTTGAGCAAGGACTGTGTCCTTTGGGCTTTGTTTGACGAAGTTGAGCAAGAATTGATTGGAGGATCCCTGCTTTCATTGCATTTGGCAGCCTGCGTCCCACTTGCCGTATCCAATTGGCTGTTTTGATGAAGGGTACCGGTAGCATGGTGGAAAGGATGATTCACTGGGCGGCTTGCAAAGATATTCGTGTTCTGATAGAGGTCATGATTTGTGGATATGGTGGAGAACGAGCTGAAGCAAGCAGATGCAGGGAAAGACAGGCTTGATGAGCCCCCTGTAGCTGAGGCAGCATTTGGCTTTGCAGCTTGCTTGGGATGAGTGCTGCCTGGTGAACTTTTCTGGGATCCGGCCACGCCTTCAAGTTTGTTGGCTTTTCTCACTCGTCGAATCAATTGATTCTTCCTCTGCCTTAGGGTGATGCCTTCCCCATCCACTGTTTTGGCAGTGGCATCTGTAGGATACTGAAATCCACCCATCCTCAGTGCCATCTCCAAAGACAGGTGCGGGTCCTCCAGTTTGAAAGCCACAGCACGGTTCATGCGGCCATCTCCCCGGGCAGCTTGGTTAGAGTCGAGCATGCCGTTCGCAGCTGCCTCGTAGGCACCATTCTCCGAGGGCACTCTGTTTTTGTTTTCCATCTTGCTAGCTTTGTGAGGGACTCGACCTGGGACTTCAAAATATGACATCATGCAAGCTGTTGCGCACGGAAATAAATGGGGTTTGGGAGGTTTTGAGGCCTAATCGGGAGTTTACTGCCGCACGGAGGGCCGCTGCGGAAACAGTTCGGTGAAGTTTCCCTTGATCTTTTTTGTATATTAAATCCGGAGTTCCTCGGATGTTTCTGCCCAGTGGCAATAAAGTACCAGTACCGCGAATGGATCTGTAACAGTGGCTACCCATTATGACGTCTTGACATCTATACCTCGACTGCTTCGCCGAAAGCTTTTTTTGGAACAGGCTCCTTTCTGCCTCAAAGACACCTCTACCACACTACTCAGAGTACTCAGTACGGCAGCTAGTTTCTAAAGAGTACCAGTACCGGCAAGGCTTTGTAACTCGATTTTACCAGGAGCCTTGAAAAGTCACACACCATGACATGTACAGAATGGGGTAGGCAGGAACAGAGACTTTACAGCTTTACAGAGCTTGCTCCGCTTTCAACAAGCCTGCAACTACTGGTAAAAGCTTGACTACATGTAGCTAGCTAATACATGTGGCATGCCTTTCTCCGTCAAGAGAACAAAGTGCCAGTACCGGTAGTCTAGACGCCCTTACCAGATCTAGCTAGCTAGTTAGCTGCCGGTTTCCTGTTTCCCTCAGCTCACACCTGGCCGAAGAGCGAGGCTACACAAGCAAGTATACTAAACCAGAAAATGAAGACCATCGTTGTTGCAGAACGGCCTGTATCTTTAGAAGAATCCCCCGATCAAACGTGTTCTACTAGTATCCGTCAAGTGAGGGAAGATGTGATGCTGCCTGCATTTGGGACATGGGAGACAAATCATAGAATCTGGGTTTCCCAGTGTGAACCAGCAAATTTGTGGTGCCATACCGCAGTACTCCAGAATAGTACTGGATACCGGTACTATCACAGTGTGTACGAGTAGGCCCTCCTTCATGTCTTCTACATGTAGTCTGGATCTACTAGCTAGCTAGCTACAGTGCTTGGATTATGTTTCTGGTGAAGGATGCAAGAGTAAATGCCAGCTCTAATGGCTTTGTTTGACGAGAAAGGAGCCAATGTGAGTCAGTCCTATTTTTCAAGCAGAAATTCGTTCCGGGTTGGATTGCCAGTCTGAGTCCTCTTTCAGCTGCAGTCAAGTCAATTATTGGGAACGATGTGGCAGTCATATCATGGGTACCACCTACCAGAATGTAACGTACGTACCGGGGGATGAGCAAACTTGCCGATTGCCCTGCATTATATTTGATAGCGTTTTTTGTAAAAGTGTCTGTGAAAAAGCGAATATTTGTTTTGGGCTGCAATTTTTCTATTGGATTAGATTGGATTGGATTGAATTGGATTGCATTGAATTCCATTTTACTATAGAAATAACGCCCACCTTCCCAGACAGGGAATGAAGAGATTCTACAGAACGGAGAGTATGAGTTAACAGGGAGCCGACCATAAGGGAGACTGACGGACAGGAATCCGGGAGAGCCACTCATCCAAGGATGAGGTGGTGGACCGAAGTGTCGGGTGCACAGGTGGTTTGCCAAAAGAGAGACGGAGACATAGATGGTAAGGCCCAACCGTTCGCCAAGTCGAGCTCGCAGAGATCAGGTTAGATCCCGCATTAATTACCCCATGGGAGAGAACACTCACACGATATGCGAGCCTGGTTTGGGAGAAGACGATTGAAGTCATATGTTCGTTGGACTCAGGGCGCTCAGGTGTTGATCGTCAGAGAGAACTAGTCTAATACCTTTATCATTGTAAGGTGACCCACAGAAGTAGCTATATACACAGCTGGAGACAGCGAGAAAGCTAGCAACGGCCGTCACCAGGAGATAGTACACGAGGCCCGTGGTACGCCATCACAGTGTAATATACGGGCTTAAGTATGCTTTATTCACACCCGACTAGAGCAGTACTGATTAGTGCTATCTAGGTTATCTTATGGCCGCCTACATACAGTGCTTGAATTAGTTCTCATGAAGGATGCAAGAGTAAATGCCAGCTCTAATGGCTTTGTTTGACGAGAAAGGAGCCAATGTGAGTCAGTCCGATTTTTCAAGCAGAAATTCGTTCCGGGTTGATTGCCAGTCTGAGTCCTCTTTCAGCTGCAGTCAAGTCAATTATTGGGACGATGTGCATATCATGGGTACCACCTACCAGAATGTAACGTACGTACCGTACCTTTCAAAAACTACTACAATTGTTTTGGTCGCTCCTAAACTCTCGACCTCCTATTTTAGCTGAGTCCTAAATTTCTGCGTGGTTTTAGCAGGTTTTTTCGCGCAGCCCGCGCGAAATAAAGATCATTAGTTTGCTCAACGGATATAGTAGATCGATACTAATAGATTTAGAGGACCGACTGCCAGCTCTGGCTGCACCCAAAACCTGAGCGAGATTTTTTGGACTGAGCTAAATCGCAGGCCAGCCCACCGAATTGGCTATCTCGTAGTACGCGTACTCCTGATGACATGGGCAGTTCATTAGGACTATTTAGGGACGACTAAATAAACCTGTGTGTGCAGTGTCGAAACGATATTGCTAGGGTTTGGGAAACGGTGCTACCTAGTGCACCAATCCAAAACCGTTGGGATACAAAACCGTTGGAAGGTGCAATCTGGTGAACCTAGCCAAAACCGTTGGAAACCAACATTGAACTGAGTAGCCCATGTCCAGCTGAAGAAGCAGCGTGTCGTAGACACAGCTGCCGGAAGCCCCATGTCAACTGAGTCAGCGGACGGCTGGAGTGGGAGAAAAACACCTACTCTAGAGGGGAAAACCCACGGAGGCAAAGCTTTGAACACGAAAAGGGAATATTGCAGAGCTATTTTTAGACCACTGCAATAGCAGAGGGGGGATGATTGCCAGCAAACGACATTAGGTCAGGAATAGAGTCGCCAGGACCAAAAGTCTTCTGGCGCAGAATATCGGCGTGGCCACGAGCCAGGCCCAGAGTATTTCCAGGTAATCACCGATGTAAGAGAGGACGCTTGGATTTCCAGCGAAAGAGCCATTGGATTTGGACCTCGTTGTAACCGGCTTCGAAGAGAAGCACGCAAGCGCCCACTCGGAGAGAGTGGGAACTCCAACGACAAAGTTTCGTCTTATCTTTGCTCGGGGAAAAACCAAACTGAGATGCAGCAATGGCAAGCATAGACTTGAGGATAGCATGGGGATGAACTGAATGGATATGGCCGTATCGATTGTAGACAAATACCGACAAAGGGGTTTTCACATCCTCCAGGCTCTCGAAGAACGGATAAAAGCGTCGCAAGCCGGATTCGAAACATGGCGCAAACCATACAGAGGTGGGGGTCCATCAAGACGCGGTCAAGTTCTTTGCAAAGATTGCCACCGCCAAACAGCGAAAGGAGTACACCACAAAGGCGAAACGTGATGTTTGGTTTTTTCCAGCCAAGCACGGAGACACCACGAAAATCTTGGCTACCACAAGCTGAATGGGTTCACCAAGGAATTAGCGAAGATGTGTGGCTTGACCAATTGGGAAGACATTTCCAATCATGGTTGGCGAGCGTACGGAATCACAAAACTCCATGCAGCTCGCGTCGATCTCAAACTCGATTGAAGATGGCACGACACAAGTGCGAGAAGAGTCAACTTCTTATGCTCGCTTGACAAGTGACGGTCTGTTCAAAGCTCATCAGGCATTGCGTGGGACAGATGATTCGATCAGCGCTCAAGACGACAGTGATGAGGGAGCCAAGAAACCCGCTGCCAAAAAGCGCAAAACCAAAACTGCCACCGGTGGGAAGAAGAAGAAGAAGTCCAAGACAGCGGCGACGGAGATTCCAGAAGTAGTATCAACTCAAGAAGACGAGGAAGATGCGAACTCCCAGTTGACCGAAGGGAGCAAGGACCATAGCAAGATGTCGCGAGATGAGCTTTGGCGGAGCTGGCTCGACGAGACACCACTGGATCGGTTGTAGCCGTTTCAAATGTTGGCGGTGGGTCGGCGAGTGTTGCTGGATCAGCGTTTGGTGGAGGGTCGGCGAGTGTTGCTGGATCAGCGATCGGAGTGGGATCAGCGAATTTTGCTGGAATGGGTGTTGTGGTGGTACGGCAAGTGTTGCTGGGAGTCAGGCGAGTTTCGCTAGTGGACAGATGATGGCGGTCCCACAGATGCAACCACAGATGGCGATGGCGGTCCCACAACAGCAGATGGCAATGGCAATCCCACAACAGATGCCGATGATGCAACCACAGATGCCCATGATGATGCAATATCCCATGATGGGATTCAATCCGGCCATGATGGGAATGGGATTTAGTCAGACTTTTCTGCAGCAACAATATGCGAATCAAGTCGGGCCACAGATCATTGTCCCACAGATGCAACAACAAGCAATGATGCCACAACAGCAACAATTCGCACAGGGACAGCAGCAGCAACCACAGCAGGTGATTTGTATTCGGGATGCAAATGGGAATTTAGTTCCGGCGGACAATCAAAATGGAGCCCATCAATACTGAACGGCCTGATCATCATGGTGGATGTTTGCCGGTTCGGCAATGTCTTTTTTGGGGCAATAATGGCTGGATGGGGCATAGCTTTCGCTTTCGATTTTTGAGTTTCGAAATTTATGGGAAAAACTGAATGGTTCTGAAGAGGTCGATGGACGATTTGTTTCGTGCGTTCAGTCAGACGGAGAGGTTCCGACTGTTCAACCACTCTTAACCTTCCGTTAGACAAACACCATAACAATAGCAACAAATTCAATTTCCCAAATCATCTCCTCTAACAAATAGCCCCACTAATCATACAGAATTTGGGAAAGCAAAATTGCCACTGGTGGATATGGTGTTTGTTGGTTCAATCCCACAAAGTTGTCACATTTAACCCTTGACATCACACATGGTCGCTGATCATTTTGCCGGAACCTTGGAGAGATTTGCCGGAACAAGACTAGTGCGTTGAATCACGAAGAAAATTCTGCTACGTCT